TCTTGCCACTTTACTTTTAGTTATTTTCAATTCAATAATTTAATGATGAAACATAAGTATCATCTATACACTCAGGAGCAATAGAGGTATTACAGTTATCACCTTGATAAAATATAAATAAGAAAAAAAACAGGAATAAATATTATAAAGCAAGACATACATGTCAAAATTTTCAGATGACTGGCTCCCTGAAAATTTCATGAAATAAGTGAAAAAATATTATCGAAAGAGAACTTACTAAGGCAAAAAGACTATAAATAAGGCTGACACAATAGAACCAACAGTTTTCCTTTCCATTACCACTACTGCATTAGAAAAAATTCATTCATAATGGCAACAAAACTAAAACACAAATTCTAAGAGCAATCTGAGGTTCTCTATAAAGAAAACTAAGATTTTCCTGTAGCATATACAAAATAAATAAAAAACCATGTTTCTAAAAGGAAAGACCTACATTTTCCCATTTTTCACAAATTTTAATAATATTGCCAAGGAATTGGGTGAGCTTAAAAACACATAAGGAAGAGAAAAAATGCAAAAGAATAGCCAAAATGTATTTTTTAAGAAAAATAGGGGAAAAGATGGATTTTTGTACCCTCACATAAGTTTGTTTTAAAGTAGCTCATTCACTTTATATGTCACTGGATATATCTATTATTATCAAGACTCTTCTAGGAAAACAGAAGTGAATAAAACATATAGAAACCCATTCTCAAGAGAATCTGTGCACACATTTCTTAAAATTCTCGATTAATAATATTATTTCATATAAACACAAAAAGTTAACAACATAATGAAAAATTGAGTCAAAAACCTAAAAGAAAAGAAATCCAGTGAAGGCCATCCTAGTAGTGCAACCTTTTATTTTGCCCTGTGGGCAAGTCCTATGTGAAAGAAATAGCTGTGAAATCAGATTGCATTTTGATGGCAAAAGGTAAACTAGATATAAACCAGCCTTTCCCAGATCTAGCTCTTGCTAACTTTAGATCATCTGATTAGGCCAGTAAACTCAAAACTTAAACTTGGATTAAGGTATTCTAAAACTAATAGCCAAAGTTTTCAAATATAATGTTCAGCATACAAACATCGGGGCAAAAAGAAACATGACACCATGAACAAGATGAAAAAGCATCAAAAGAACCAGATCTATAATATTTTTAAATTCCAGAATTATTAGATGTGAAATACTAGAAACAATAAAAAAGTATATCTGAAAAAGTACTAAATGAAATTCTAGACCTGACACTAGTGGCTGAGAAAATTAAAGTGGAAGGTAAATCAAAAAAGACTAGAATATAGCATTAAGAGTAAAAGAGAAAACAGAGAAGGTAAATAAATAAAAATCTAGTGAAGGCAGTGAGAAGAATTTAAAATTGGAGTACCAAAAGAACGAGAGAAACGAGGCAGAAAAATTATAGAGATATTGACTTTCTTCCAGAATCCAAAAGAGACTCCAAACTTGACAATAAAAATCCCTACACATAGATAGAAGTATTATAGTAAAAATTTCAGAAAATTAGATAAAAAAGAAAATCAGCCAGGAAATTTAGACAATGGACATTATCGACAACTAAAGCAGAAACAAAGCAGAAAATGGTGGAATAAAAGCTTCAACATGTGGGGAGAAAATAAATCCAAATCTAGAATTCCACACTCATAAAATATTATTCAAGAATTAAGTGAATAAAGGCCTCCTCAGCAAACAAAAGCCAAGAACATTTGCCACAAAAGACCTAAGAAACTTAAAAGGATAGAATTGATTACATTAAAATTAAGGATTATTCATCAAAAGTAACCATAAAACAAATGCAAAATAAAACAACAAAGTAGAAGATAACTGCAACACATACAATTTAAGGATTAGTGGAATTCCTACAGTTAATATGAACAAAGACAGATATCCCAAAAGAAAAAAGAAAAAAAAAAGGGGGGGACAATTTGTGAAGGCATTTCTCAAAGAGGAAATCCAAGTAGGCAATAAACATAAGAAAAGACAAAACCTAGGGAAATGTAAATTAAATTCACAATGAAATGCCACTTACACCAACTAGCAAAAATTTTTAAATTAGACCATATTATTAGTGAGGATCTGGAAGAACAAGTACTCTTATGCACTCCTGTGGAAATATAAACATGTGTCATCTTTTGAGTTTTGTTTTCTCTTTGAAGCATATACTCTATGACCAAAAATCCCCATTCCTTGGCATAGAGCCTAGAGAAAACTGCAATGGCGTTTATCAGCAGAAATGTAAGAATATTTAGAGCTCCATAGCATTTAATGCCATAACTGAAAACCTAAATATGTATCAATAATGAAAATGGATAATTAAATGGTCACACTATAATGCAGTAACATACAATAATGAAAATACACTATAGCTAATAGAACAACAGAAAGGACAACACTAAGCAAAAACTCCAAGACACAAAAGAAAACATGATTCCATTTCTATAAAATACACCAAGTAAAAATAAAGTACATGTATTCATAAGAAGTCAAACTCTTAAAAAAAAAAAGAGTATATAAATGATTATTTTCAAAGTCAGAATTGGGCTAGAGATATAGTTCAGCATTCATAAAAACCTGGATTTGACCCTCAGCACTGCCACACAAACACACAAAAAAGAAAGGGTGAGATGAAGAGCTTAGTTGGGGGTGCTGGCAATGTTTTATATCTTGTCCTTGTAAATAAAGTACTTTTTAATACAGTACTTTAATGTACTTCATCTTTCAGTAAAACAAATTTAGCAAGAGGCAATCTGTACATACCTAAAAATTATTTGACCTATTAGATTAACAGTTCAGCCTTCTAAATTTAGTAACTGCATAATCAACTTTGAGTTGTGATTTTAAACTAGACATCTTACTAAATTATATGAAATATTAAAGTATTCAAGAATATTCAAGTTTCTCCATATTTTGCAGGTTTAATTTTTTATATTTGAATAATTTATGCACCATTTTTTTAAAATTTTTTGATTTTGGGGATGGACTGGGAATGGAACCCAGGGTCTCATGCACTCTATCACCCAAGCACTCTACTACTGAGCAGCATTCCTGGCCACTTTAAATAAGAGAACTGAGGTTATTGAAATAGGAACTAAATGTGAAATAATAAATGTAGTTTAAAATATTTGTAAAATGTTATAAATGAAAGTAAACATTGTCTAAAAGTTCCTTAATTAAAGTATTTGCTGAAATTGCCTAAATTCACCAGTAGAAAAATCTGAATCCAAATATCTTTACTATAAAAAAATGCTCTTTGTTTAACTTACAATTGTTTTTATTGTAAAAAAATTTTTTAAAATAAATTTTATTTTAAAATTTTTATTTGGACACAATAACTTTATTTTATTTGTTTATTTTTATGTGGTGCTGAGGATTGAACCTAGCACCTTGCATATGTTGGGTGAGCGCTCTACAGAGCCACACCACAACCCCAGCTCCCCAATTGTTTTTAATTTAAATTCTTCTTAGATGTGGTATTGGACACTGAACACTGAGCTATAGCTTCCTAAGCAGCTGGGATTACAGGCATACACAACAACACCTCACCTGAATTATTATTCTTTTTTTTTAGAGAGAGAGAATTTTTTAATATTTATTTTTTAGTTTTCGACAGACACAACATCTTTGTATGTGGTGCTGAGGATCGAACCCGGGCCGCACGCATGCCAGGCGAGCGCGCTACCGCTTGAGCCACATCCCCAGCCCCTGAATTATTATTCTATTTTCATGATTGATTTCTTTTTATATTTAGAAGTAGAAATAATTATTTAAAATATTGTTCAATATACAAGAAATTTAACGTAGGTTTAATTATGAAACTTGTGGTCTAATTCTTCTACTTGTATCCATATCTTTTTTTAAAAATATTTATTTTTTTAGTTGTATATGGATACAATATCTTTATTTTATTTTATGTGGTGCTGAGGATCGAACCCAGGGCCTCACGCATACGAGGCGAGTGCTTTACCGCTGAGCCACAACCCCAGCCCCATATATCTTGATAATTACCTCGATAAGACAAAAATCACAAAACTTTTAAGAATAAGAGCTAAAAGGGGTTCTAGAAATTGCTAATTTTCCCATTAGAAATCCTATGTTTTGTTTTCACTTCCAAATTTTATTTGCCTGTAGTAAATCTTACAATTAAATATATATATATACACACACACACACACACACACACACACATATATATATATATATAGAGAGAGTGTGTGTGTGTGTGTGTGTGTGTGTGTGTGCCTGTCAGGTGCTATGGCCCATGCCTGTGGTCCCAACTACTGGGGAAGGCTGAAGCAGTAGGATTATGAATTTAAAGCTAATCTGGGCAACTCTGCAAGACTACCCTATCTTAAAAAAAAAAAAAATTGTATGTACGTAGGCTGGGGTTGTAGCTTAGTGGCAGAGCACTTGCCTCAGCACCACATAAAAATATTGTGTCCATCTACAACTAAAAACATATTTTTAAAAAGTGCATGTATGTATATGTGTGTGGATACATATACAGATATGTCTATACAGGTATACATACATATATGTATACACACATATTTTTTAATATGGAGAAAGAAATAACCATGAAAGAATTTTGCACAATAAGAGATAACCGATACACCAAGACTTTGTATATTTTTAGTCAAAAGTAAAGAATCTATCAGGCCTTTTGAAAAACTGAAAACAACTTGCAAGTACTTTTCCCTTATCTAGGGACCCTAGAGATCAGGAGACCCTTGGTGGGACAATCCAGCCAACCAACCCAATGTTCTAAGTTCACCTATAACATGTTCCTAGTTTAAAAGGTTTAATTTATCATGAAAGGGAGAAAATTATCTTCCTCATATGTTAATCTATGCAATGTTTCTAACAAAACTGTATTCTGTGAACAAAGTAACCCAATACACATAAATAATTTAAATCAGGTAAACACAACCTCAAGTGGACTATTTTCACCAATAAGAAATTAAATAAGAAATGCTTCACATTATAGACATTATAATTTTCTTTAAGTCTTTTTTTATTTAGAGATTTTTCTGGTAAGGAGATATACCATAGGAAAGCAATTTCACTGGCAGTGAGGTATGTATACACTCTACCAAAATGCTCCTTATTTTAACTGTTTTTAACTTTATTTACACATAAAGAAAAGTATCAATGCATATCCTTGGTTCAACTATAATATTAGCCAAACTACATGAAATTAAATGAAATGGTGCCTGCATACAAAAACTGTTATTTGTAAAGGAATCTAATTTCAAATTAAAAGAACTAACTTGTTTTTGGAAATAGTTGAAAAGAATAATCACAATTTATCATGACCAAGACACCTGCACCATATTTTCCATTCCTCACAGCACATTTATTTCAGTAATTCCGTTATGTCGGTTCTTAGCATGAGCATAGTGTTACACAATTTTCATACATATAATCACATCCAAAACAAGTTCTAAAATTTAAATTGTAAACATTCTCATCATATGTAGAAATATTTTAATTGGTGTATTAAGTTTTGCTAACTGATCAAATTTGGAAGATAATATAAATGAGAAAGCCTATTCTAAATTGTGTAGTGAGCATCGTTTATTACATTTCTACAATGTTGAATAAAGTAAGAGGCAAACCTGTCCTGTAAGCATGTCAAATTTTAGGTAAAACACTAAAAAGAAACAAATCTGTTAACAAAAGGATGTCTTGCAATAAAGAACATTAGATTTTTAAAATCTATTATGATACAAAAATGTAAAGGGTAAATAGCATCTTTGTTGACAAAGTAGGAGGTAGCATGGATGCACCACTTTATTGTCTGAGAAATGCAACTGGAGTAAAGAATATTTCCTTACCACAAATAATTTCCAGGACTATGTACATATTTCTTTTAGAAATACTTGTTTAAACAAATCTCCCTCCACTTTTTAGTATAAAAAAAACCGTTCCATGTGATTTTAAAAAAACACTTACACATCTAGATAGAATAGTACTCTGCCCTATTTGAGTGAACAGTCTCAAACTATGAAGTACATGATATTTAATGCCCTAAGTTGAGTAAATTTAGTTAGCAAGTTCCTGGTATTATACAAAACACTAAATACATACAAACAAAATATAATATCTTATATTTCTATGCAAGTCTTGTGGGGAATAAACAGAGCCTTGATTCTGGTAACACTGCAGAAAACATAATTTTCCAATAAGTCTGTCTATATGTATCCATGTGCAACATTTATAAATGGCTGCTTACATGTAAGGTCTTTTATTGAGTGAACATAGTTAACCAACAAAACTTAGTAAATCTTAAAAACACATCTTCCACTCTATATAAAATATATAGACTACTTACTGTTTTTAAGTGTTCAATTTGCTCTGATGTCACTGTAAATTCACTTTCCCCATTTTCCTGCTTTAGTATTTATAAACGGATAATTTATTGTGGCTTACAAAAAAAAAAAAGAATTTAAAATTTACATCCAATTCAAATTTGCTATTTAAAAGGTTTCCTGGTTCTATGAAGCTGCTTCTGCCATTAGTAAAGAAAATGAAGTTTCTGTAATGGAAGCAGGCTTTTTAAGTAGTGACGTGACTTCCACCATGCCAGCTCCAGTCCGTGGAAGATTAGCGTTTACAATGTGTCGTTGTAAGTGCTTAATCCAGTCTTCTTGAACAGACAATGGTCCTCGAAAGACTAGGCCACAAAACCTATAGAAGTTGATAAAAGTTCTCTTAACCAATTCCTTTTATTTAAAGTCAACTTACATAAAATCCATAAAATATTTAAGGAACAAACCTTACTATATACTACATATAGCACCCTGACAGTATCTAAATGAAGTTGAGATGATTTAATGATACTGAAACTCCTAATTCCTATGTTTATTAAGAGTTATAATAAGTTAAAAAACCTACAAATCTTAAGTAATTTACAACAATTATCACTCCAAAATGTGCCATTCTCTGAAGACCCATACTCAATTCAGAATTCTTTCTTATGTGAGTATATGAAAGGAGGTATTGTATGAGGGGAAAGTAAAATGTGTTCCTAATAATCAGGAACTTATGACAGTAAAAACTGAAACTGAACCAAACTAAACAAACCAAATTTAAAAACCACAACAATTAAAAAGTCACTTTTACAAATCACAGTATAATGGAGGCTCTTGGCTAAGGTATAAAATGATTTAGAAGTTCACTTATAACTTGATTGTTGAATGTACCTTAACACCAATTAAAAATCCCAAATAAAACAGCTGAAGAAACAGAGTAGAGATGGCAATATAAGTAGATACCTGCATCGGAGAATGTAAACCTCGTCAGCACCATGAGGTAACGTTAACATTTTCTTTTTGCTTCCAGATCTTGACCTTGATTTCTTTTGTTTACAATCTAAGGCTAAAAAAGGGAAGAGAAAGACTTAAATTCCTTATTTATTATGAAATATACATACATATTTTTAGAGACGTCAGACCACCAAAATCAAGTTAGAAAAAGTTTGTATTTATTTTCCGAGGCATGCACTAACTTGTAGCTGAATCTCTAACAGCAGTAATGCTATCTACATATATTTGTCTTGTATTCCTTTTTTCAAATAATACTTTACCATTCCAAATTAGAACTGATAAAATATAAGTAAATAACTGGAAACTACAAAGTTGGTCAATAATTACCATAAAATTCTCGTGATCAAATGTAATCATAACATCTGGTTAAATTTTTCTTAACTCCAGGAAAATTTTAATGTTTTATATAAGATCATTAAATGGTTTGCATTTGATTACAATCTACTCCATTTAAGTAGGTCTCACATGCTGTAAAAAACTGAGCAAGGGAACATAAATAATGTAATAAAAGTCAATTTTCATGGCAATTCAAAGGCAAAAAAAAGCTCAACTTTCATTTTTAAATTCAATCTGTAGTAAGTGTAAAATCATGCAAACATGTAAGTTTTATTTTACTAGAAAATAAATATAAATCTGTATTACATAAATTTACAACTGAATGCAATGTTTGATGTTAACTATTCTTTACATTTTTTCCACTTTATACTTTCTTCAATATTTTATTTTAAAAATGTGATTAAAAAGGGAAAAAAGGATTTTATAATTAGACCAAAATTTTAGTGCTAAGTGTTCTTGAAATCTTTCCATTACTTGACTTTTCCTGTTATTTATTCAAAACATTTTGGCTTAATAAAGAAAAAAGGTATTTTTATAAGCTGAAATAGGACATAACATTTTATAAGTCTTTGAATTCAGCTACACCATTTCTTTGGACAAAGGGATGATAGTAATCCAGGGTGCTGCTGTCAATTAGCAGGAAGAGAAGGTAAAGAGTTTATCTCTAGGAATCCAAGGGGGAGGGATACAAATGTAACACAAGAGTCACTCAAAATGGCTTTTCTTCTTATTCTGCCACCTGAAATCCCCTGAAAAAATTCCAAGTAAGAGAGAACAGGAACTGGCTATTCAATGATTCTGTGAAATGAGTTTTTCAAAGTCCGGATTCCAAAAGAACAGATGCTACTAACACAAAACCAGTAAACATAGTTCCTTATAATAATCAAGTGGCAATGCCAACAGAAATGCCACAGAAAATTAAAAACCATATAAGAAGCCTAAATTTCATTCAGGCCGCTGGTTTCGGCATCCTGTCACCTGCCTGTTTAAAAGTAAAATCTAAGACACACAGTCTTTTTCTGTTTCATTCTTATAACAAGAGTCTATAAGTAATAAGAACGACTGGAAGTAAAGTTTTAAAGAATGGCTAATTCAAAGGTAAACCACCAAAATCTGGAACAGAAAAATCTTCTAAGGTTTTCATTCGTTATTTCAGTCAAGAGCTTGGCACATAACAGGAACTCTACAAATAAGTCTAGAATAGAAATAAAGCTAAACTCAGTAATTAAACCAACATTTAGACAGCCCCTGAATGGAAATCTGTTCTAGCCCTATGTAATACAGGTAACATTCCTAAGCAATACCTTGGCATCTTTTCTTTAAATATCACACATTCTTAGATATAGATCACTGGCCAGCCAAGCTTATGTGTAGAAACTAGGTTCTTTACAACTAACATGAAGAGTACAGTACCACATATTTTGTTAACAGCAGCTGCTTCTTCCTGATTGTTGTGGTGAGCAATTTGAATTTAAGTGAATTTTAAATGATTCATACACAGGAAATGAGAGTTCAGGGAACTCAAAAGGTAAGATAGTAGATGTTAGCTACTCTTTCCACTTGTAATGTAAACTATACACAACCCCTGCCTCTGTTATGCGGAACAGAGTAAGCATTTCATTTATCATGAGACTACTGGCAGAATATCACTTTGATGAACTTGCTGGTTGTCAAAATGCCACACTCTATTCAAACTTTCTGAAAAATGCAAAGAAATTACTCCAGGATGCAAACAGAATACATTATAACAATACTTAAAAACTATATTCACAGAATATTAATGTGAGGGGCATAAAACAAATTGAGAGAGGGTAAGAAAGTATGCTAAAGAATGGTTTATGAATTACAAAACATGTAATAACTTACTTTTAGATACTGTGATACTTTAAACATGGAACATGCTTTACCAGGATGATGAAATAGCTTACACTTTTTCTTTAACAGAGAAAAAATGGTATTTTCTGACTTTTGATGCTATATGTATGTTTAGGCAGTTTGATAAATGATCAGATATAAATTTTAAATGTGAATATCATGGCTTTTGTAGTAATTAAAATTTGAAGGTATTATGACTTTGGAAAGTAAGACAACTCCACCAGCACGAGACTGATAATTTCTGGTAGCTAGGGCTCCAAGTAAGTTAGAGAACCTCATACATTAAAAATTCTTTTGAGGGCTGGGGTTGTGGGTCAGTTGCAGACTGCTTGCCTAGCACGTGTGAGGCACTAGGTTTGATTCTCAGCACTGCATATAAATAAATGAATAAAATAAAGGTTCATCAACACCTAAAAAATATTTTTAAAAATTCTTTGAAATATATCTGTAAGATTAAGGTATTAAAAACTTGAGACCTCTGATAATTAAACCCAAATGCCTCAGTGTCTTAATATCTTCATTATTACTTAAAAACTTCTTAGCCCTTGAAATTTTTTTAAGTTGGTAAAACATTACATTTAATAGGTAAGGATTTTTTTTTTTCCCTAATACCAACCCTATTCCTGTAAAACACTGAGTATCTGACATATATACAAAGGGGACATTTATATGGTATCTTCTAAATAAAATATGATTTACAGAAAAAGCTTCCCTATCTGAAAAAGGTGACATGCAAACATGCCTATTATCCAAATGTTGTCATTTAACAGATTTTATTGCATCTAGAGGTAAAAACAGTTTTATTCTGCACTGTATCAGGTTTCATTACATTAAATATAGAATGCATTCAACTTTAGTACAACACATTTGATTTTGACATAATAAAGCTCATCAATACTTGTGATCAACAGCCAAAGGTATAACAAAGTTGTTATATATGAGTATCTGCCAAATAGATAACTCTGTTACACTAAGACTTTCTTTGTTGTAGGTTTTTATTTGCACTTATTAGCGTTAAAGAAGAAAAAACTCCCACACACCTTTTCAATTTCCAATTTATATCTGTATTTGCACATGCAAAATTATCAGATTAGTTATAGAAAAGAATTCTTAAGTTCTCTTCTCTGTGAGTAAAACTGCTTCTTTAGAAAGGAACAAATCCAGTCACTCATACCTTTCTGAGGTGGGCAACTTCAGCCAGAGGACTGTCAACAATCTTTGAAATTATCTGATTTTATGAAAGATCTAAACTGGTACTGGGAATAGTTACTTGTGGGAAGAATGAATTGAGTGTAAGGCCATATACAAACAGTTTTACAATATACCTTTTAGTAAAATAGCTGTTTTGAAATATGAAAGTGAAATACAACAGAGAATGCATCCTCAAAAAGAAAGCCATATTGCTATGCTATGAAACGGGAACAAAATGTCCAAAACACTAAACTAGATCAGTGAAAAGCATACAAAGAGATAATATGACACAAACAAATTCAAGCCTGTTTTCTGAACAACTGTTTAGTTTTGTACATAAAAGAAAAAGAAGTTACTTTTTTGCTCTAACACTGTTACATAAAATCTTATGCCCTTTTCCACCTTTCTGTTCATTATATACAATAACTGCTTCTGCTTCAATGAATTTCATTATCTTTTTTCTTCGCTGCAGAAATTACTTCAGAGAATAATAATTCATAAAAATACCTGAAGCTTCTGTGATACAGAAGCATACCACAAAATTAAATTAACATTTACCACCAAAATATTTGTATTTGCAATTATCCTCCCCCCTACCCAATCATTTAAAAGTCCTTTCATCTGTTTCTTCCCTGATTGTTGGCATTCCAGATATCTTAGTCCATTACCTGCTGCTTTATCAGAATATCACAGACTGGATAAATCAGAAACAATGTATAAATAAATATATTTGGCTCACAGTTCTGGAGGCAGGGAAGTCCAAGAACATAGCACCACCAACTATGAAGGCCTTCCTACTGAGTCACACAACATGGTAGAAGGGAGTGAGCACACTCAAAACAGGAAATTGGGCAAATTCATCCTTTTATCAGGAATCCACTCCTGTGATAAATATCCAACTCCCACAATTATTATATTAATTAATTCATAAGGGTGGAGCCCTAATGGCCTGTTCACCTCTTAAAGGCCCTACACCTCTCAATACTAATGCAATGGCAACAAAATTTCAATATTAGTTTTGGAGGGGACATTCAATCCATGGCATTCTGTACTATACCCCCTAAAAACTCACATACAAAATACATCCATGCTATTCCAAAAGTCTTCAAAAGTTTCAGTGTCAACTCAAGAGTTCAAAGTCCAGAGTCTCCTCTAAATCAGGCATGGCGAGACTCAAGGCATGATTCATTCTGAGGCAAATTTCTTCCAGTAGTAAGCCTGTGAAGTCAAAACGAATTATCTACTTCCAAAATACAATATGATAGGCATTCTCATTCCAAAAGGGAGAAATAGGCAAGAAGGGGTATTAGACCCAATATTAAACCTCAAAGCTTCATATTAACTTTTCTCCATGTGCTACTTCCTAGACATACTAGAAGGTTTGGACATCTTGAAAAGTGCCAACTCTCACAGCTCTACTGTGGCCTAGTGTGGACTTTCTGTAGCAGTTCAGCCCCTAATCTCTCTGCATGGGCACCCAGGTAGTCCATAGCATTCTTTGAAATCTAGGTGGGAGTACCATGCCCCCACAGCTCTTGCATGCTCCATGCACTGGCAAACTTAACACCACATGGACAAAGCCAAGGCTTATCACTTTTATCTGAGGCCACTTGAATCAACACTGCCCCACATAAGAAGGCAGGGAGCAGT